GGCCTAACTTAGAAGCAGAAATTTCCTCACTGTGATGCTCCAGGAAGCCACAAGCAACCAGTCAGGACTGGTCCTTGAGGTGAAACCTACTGCCAGCCTTGAGGATCCTCTGTGTCTTTTGGGTTTCCTGTCCTGTGCCTCAGGGCTTTCTGAGGGCCTGGTCTCAGCCGGGTGGAGATTCCCACCCCCTTATCCTCCACGGAGGCCCTGGGTACCTGGGAGGGAGGACGTGGGCTAAAGGAGCTTTTTGGGTTGCACTCTCCCCGCCACAGACCCCTATGTGAAGATCCACCTGATGCAGAACGGCAAGAGGCTCAAGAAGAAGAAGACAACGGTGAAGAAGAAGACCCTGAACCCCTACTTTAACGAGTCCTTCAGCTTTGAGATCCCCTTTGAGCAGATCCAGGTGCGTGAGCTTGACGGACCTCAGGCGCGGAGCTGGGCCAGGAGGCGGGTGGAGGGCAGGGGACTCACCCAGGCGTTTCCTCAAACCATGGACGAGTGTCACTCTGGTGGGGGAATGCCACATGGGGACTCTGCCCCAGGGTCTCCCTTTTGGAGGAGATGAACATGAAGTAATTAAAAACATTCCACAGATTTTTTGCTCCTTTAGAACTTGGAGGGACACGGTTGTACATATGGGCCAGGGGGTGACACCAGTGAGTCTGGAAGTGACTAAGGAGGAAATAGTCTCTTTCCCTTCCATCTTCCCTTGGTCATCCCTGCCCCCATGTTCCCTAAGTCTGCTCCCATCTTCCCCTCTAACCCCTTCCTCCCTCCTCTTCCCACCCCACTTTTCCTTTTCTTTCCCTCCCTTCCTCCCTCCCTCCCTTCTGTCCCACCAGAAAGTGCTGTACAGGGTGGAGATGAGGTTTGTTTTTCTCCACTTCTGGGTGGGACTGGGATCTGGACTTGGTAAGATGGGAGACACAGACCATTCTGGGCTGGAAGTCAGATGCAAGGGCTTGCAGGGGGGCGGTTCTCTTCAGGGGAGCTGTCCCTCCCCCTTTCCTCCCTCTTTGAAGGGCAAGAGTGCCAAGGGGCTCTTCAGAGTTGAAGTTGTCCGGTTTGAGGTGTCCATGATGTCATTTACGGAATCTTTAGGGGAATAGATGTGATCCCAATGGAAAGCTTCAGATGTGAACTATCCTGGCTCAAGCATCTCAAATCCACAAGTCCAAAGCCAACATAATGGTTTTCTCCCTCCCTGATCCCGTCCAAATCTGCTTTGTCTAAATTCTGTTTTCAATGAATGACCCCACATCTTCCCAGTGGCCCATGTCAGAGGCCTGAGCTTCATCTGAGAAGCCCAGTCCTTTTTCTTTTCCCCTTTACTCAACATATTTCCTGAGCATTTCCTAAGTGCCAGGCACTTGCTAGTGTCTGGGGAAATAAGTGTGTAGAAGACACAGACCTGGTGTCAAGGCCCTCATAGTGGGAGGGGCCCAGCAAACACGGTGGGATGGTGGCTTCAGTGTGCCTAAGATGTAGGGGAGATTTTGCAAAGAAAGCTTTGCCCTAAGGGTTGAGCCTGAGTTAGTAGGGAGAGGGGGGAGAAAGGCATTGACTGTCCCCTCAACAAGTCCAAATGCTCACCAAGTCCTCTTGATTCTCTCCTCTAAATACCTCTCTGGTCTGGCCCTGACTTCCCATCCCCACTGTCCTGGTTCACATTCACTAATACACCCCTGCAGACCCCTAGCAATGGGTGCTCCTGCAATCAGGTCCATTCCTCCCACCTCGGGGCCACGTTCTCCTAACAGATCCATGCCACCCCTTCTCTTATGTCTTCAGGAGCTGCCTACTGTTTATCTGACTGATAGATAAAGTGCAAACTCCTTAGCTGACCTCACTTCCTGCCCAGCTGACCTCACTTCTTGCCCAGCTGACCTCACTTCCTGCCCAGCTGACCTCACTTCCTGTGTCTCAATCTATACTCCAGTGAATCTGAACTTCTGTTTCTCAGTTACCAGTGCACTCTCCTGTCTCTGTTCCCTTTCTGAGGCTAATCTTCTTTTCTGGAACTCTCTTCCCTCTTTTCTGCCGTCTGTGAAGCCCTTCCTGTATTGACCCAAGCAGGACTGTCATTTCCTCTGAGTTTCCGTTGTACCTGGTGTTCCCCTCTCTAGCATAACGTTTATTACTTTGTGTGGCAATTTTTTGATTACGTGCATGTTGATGTCATTAGAGGTAAAATTCATCTTTTCCTCCTCCCATCCCCTCTGCAAGTACTGACAGTGCCTGGAGCATTTTTTGTGGTGCACAAAATGCTGTTGGTAGCAACACAGGTTGTCCCCAAAGGTGTGACCTTTGCCTCCATGTAAATTCAATCTTATTGGGAGCCCGAGATGGAAGGCAGTAAGGTGCCCAGGGAGGCCTTTCTTCCCAATTGTTTGGAGTAAATGTTGATGGAGGGAAATTTGGACTTGGAATTCCATGTCTTCACTTTCCAATGTCCTCCCTCTTTGGCTTCCCTTGCAGAAAGTCCAGGTGGTGGTCACTGTGCTGGACTATGACAAGCTGGGCAAGAATGAAGCCATCGGCAAGATCTTTGTGGGCAGCAACGCCACGGGCACAGAGCTGCGACACTGGTCTGACATGCTGGCCAACCCCCGGAGGCCCATCGCCCAGTGGCACTCACTGAAGCCGGAGGAGGAGGTGGACGCACTTCTGGGCAAGAATAAGTAGATGGCCGCAGCTGGGACCCCGTGCCCTTGATGGACACTGACAAGATCCAGAGCTATCAATACCTCAGTTATGCGACCTTAGAGGTTTTCTTCATCGTTTGTGGTTGTGTCCTTGTTTTTCCTTCCTTTTTCTCTTTTTCAAGACCAACTTTCCTTTGATGGCTGTGTGAGGAGAGTCCCCTAAGAGGTGGAAGAGAAGCCTGGCTCTGTTCGTCATCCCAGGAGCTGCGGTCAGTTGCTGCATGTCCTGCCGGTTCCCC